CGAGAACATACAAAGAATATTTAACAGATATGATTTTAGACACTATTGATAATGGCGGGTGGATAGTAAATTTAGGCAAAGGTAGAATAGAAGAACTCAAGGCAGGTTTTAAAGGTAAAGGAAAGAAATAATATATAAATAATTATAATGATAATATTAACTAAAAACATACTGAAAAGAAAGAAGCAAAAGTTCAATGATAAATATGATCACGACAGTTTTACAATACATAACCTAACAAAACCAAACACTTCAACAACAATACAACCACCGAAATTGATGAAAAAGGGCACGCCGAGAGAGTTTATTGACATTGCAACCAACACAGATACAATCGCCACAGAAACCAGAGAGACTCAAGAAAAGTTATACAATGATGCAAATCAACCATTAAATATGACATTTGAAGCGTTTAAGGTAAAGGAAAACCAAGACAATATGTTTAAAATAATGCTTAAAAACTTTTGGCACAACACACACAAGAGAAATGAACCAACAAGAACACAAGCAACACAAACACTGAAAAACCAACGCGACGCAATGGTGTCAGCCTTTACTAAAATGCTCGACAACAACAAACCACCAGAACCACCGCCAAAGAAACCACCAGACGAGGATGACAGCGATGAAGAAGAAAAGAAGTTCAAACTGACAAAAATGATAGAAATAATGCTACACAACGGCGCTACAGTAGCAGATATCATATTAAACTTATCGCACAGCGCAATTGCAACAACTATAAATATCGCAGATTTAGTCAATCAAATAACAGCAGGAAATGCACAAGCTAGCAGTAGTTCTTCTAATGAAATTATTAGTGTTCATAGTTCTCCACCTGTTACTGTCCATAGTTCTTCATCTGAAAGTCCAACAGAAATACCAGCACCAACTGAAGACGAAGAAGAAGAAGAAAACCAACATTTCAATTTTGAAAAATTAAAATCTAAATCATATTATATATAATGGGTATTGGTCAAAGTAAAAATAATGAAAATAATAGTTTGGAAGACATTAAGAATTTAAGTATAGATGAAAAAACACGAGCAGACACTTTAATTATTAAATCTCTTCAAGAATGTGTGGCACGAATTGAGAAACTAGAGAAAGAAAAATCTGACAAATTAATATATAAATTACCTGTTCAATTATGTAATTATTCATTATTTTAAATTAATAATATTAAAACAAATTCATATTATTGATTACTATCATAATCTGTCATTTCACTATCGGGTAATTTCGTTGATGCATTGCTACATATATCATCTATTAAATCTTCTTCATCAACAAATTATTTTGAAATCTTAATAATTCCTCGTCTGTTGCCCTTCTTTTCAATACTTTATAAAGTTTATGTATCCAAGAATTAGTATGAAAATTATAATTACCTCTACGATAAAATCCACCACATCTACATAGTTTCATTGACATATTATTATATTATATTAAATTTAGAATATCTTTATTCATCATTCGTAATTTGAAACGCCTGTTCAAATCTGATATGAAACATTTTGTTAATGTCCTTAGCATTCATATTCACGTAGAAGAAACTATAAGGTGCGTCATTAACGGCTTGATGATACATATCTAATAATTGCTGTTTATCAACAATGGCGCTATTTTCTTCAATAAAACTCATTAACTCACTTGCATTTTTCAACCTAAAAATATATAATGAACTGGCATTTAAACGAATGATAGGCGCTAAAACATTATATTTTTGTGTTGAACAAATTACACTTACTGCATCGTGCCTACCTCTTGTAAATAATCCATGTAATAATTTACTATATCTAACAAATTTAGGATCGTCTGCGTGGTCATCTATAACGATTAATATTGAATGCAGTTTCTTTATCTTTTTAGATTTCATATAATTAATTATTTTCTTCTGTCTTTCAATTACATTTTCTAAATCACTTGGATTATAATTATCAAAATATATTTGTTCTTTTTCATCATCTACGTGCAATTCATCCCTGATGTATTTTTTAACTTCTGTAAAAGTTGGGTCATTATGAACGCTGGGGGAAAATATAAATATTCTTGCAAATGAATTTCTATAAACATTTAAAATAAGATTCTGAACTAAAACTGTTTTGCCTCCCGTCGAACTCGCAACTATAATACTTCTAAATGGTAATTTTGGCACGTGCTCATATTTGGATTGTTTGAATTCATATTCAGTTATGTTTATTGGTTTTATTATTGGGACATCTGTCATAGTTGATATTAAAGAAATATAGAAAATTATATTTAAAAATTAACTTGTAATTAATATTAAATGGAACATCATTATGTTATGAGTGGCGGTGAATAACATAATGGAACAGGTTTTCCATTGCTTCAATCAATAAGCATTGAAGATAATTAGTTTTGTGTCTTGCTCGCGTGTGCAATGAAAACCCAAGTGCTGTGCCCCACCAATATTCTATTATGCATGAAAATAATAAGATTAATTAGAATAATTTATCTTATTATTTAATATGGATAGAAGTTATTCAGATTATATTGATATAATAGATGAAGTAGAGAATATAGAACAAGTAATAATAACTGACAATAAAATTAAGAAATGCTGTTATTATACATTAGAATTAATAAAATTAGGAATACAATATATCAAAAATAAAAATGTAAATATTAATATAAATGGGAAAAAAGAAAAAGAGTAAATCAAATTCAATATTAGATCATGAAAAACCAATGCCAGAAATTCAAGATCGGAAAGAAACAACAGTAAGTGTTAAATCACTAGGTGTAAGCAGAGAAGTAAAATGTGATAAATGTAATCATATTATGAACTTTCAAAATGAATTAATAGTAGATAAAAAAGGCGGTGTTAATATTAAATGTATTCCGTGTATGTTATCAGTCAAGAAGAAAGACCAAGAAATGAGTGTAGTGAAGAAGAAGGACGGAGATATGACAATAGAAAAAAATGACCATTTAGCCAATGTTAGTTTTAATAGGGTAATAACATAGTATTTAAAGAGTAGATTTTACATTAAATCAATTTTATAAATAAATAAATATTTAAATAAATAATTATATAAATAAATATATATAAAATGTCTGAAGTTGAGAATAATGTTATTTCTGAACTATCAAGGAAGATGATGACAGTTAGTAAAAATGTTAAACTGTTGTACGAGATGATAAAAACTATTGACCAGAAACTTGATGCAAAGGCAAACGAACCAAAAAATAACAATGAAGAGAAGGAAAAGATTGATAAGATCTTTGAAAAGAAAGGGATAGGCAGACCCAGCGGTGATTATGACACGAAGCGCAAAAATATTGTGATATGTTAAATAAGGGACAAATCAAAAGTCCAAAAGAACAAACATTAGAATACTATAAGATTATTAAGGGCGATGATGGTAAATATACAATTGTTGAAAATTAAAATATAAATAATTCTAATAATATGAATTTATTAGAATTATTTTCAGGCAGTGGTTCTGTTTGTACAATTGCACGGGATTTAGGTTTTAATTTATTAATTTAACTTTAATTTATTAATTTAATTTTAATTTATTAATTAAAATTCTTGTAAAAAGTATTTAAAGAAATATTAATTATATATATTATCATGCAAATGGTTGTATTTACAGAGGTTGAACAGGAAGAAATTATCAATGAATTCTTAACTTATATTGAACAACAGGAAACTAAAATAATTGATGAGTTTTTGAGTGATAATGATAATAAAACAGAAGAAGAAGAAGATGACAGTTACGGATTTGTAACTGAAAAACGGTTAGAAAAGGAAGTTACAGAACATCATAAAATGATAAACAATATTGAAACGAAAAATTACATCCCATTAAAACATGCAATGATAAAATATATGGAACAAACCAACAACCAACGAATAATTAGAAATGCTGGAAGCTATTCATACAGTCAAAAGACATCCAATTGGTGGTATTTAAGCTTTAGAGAATTTGAATGGTTAATCGAAATAAAAAAGAATGGCAACAAATGGGTTTGTAGCAAAGAAAAATTAGATGCAGTTGATTTTAACATATTGTATACATATAAAATGTTTAAAAGAAGATTTGAATAATTATAAAAACGAATGAACCAGACCTTGCCCATAATATGTCTACAAAATTTGTGATAAAATTTATTGTATAATAATTTATCATAATTGTTGGAATAATATTTTTTTTGAAAATTTATTTTTTTTATGTTTTTGTATTTTTTTAAAATTTTGTAAAATTTATTTTTTTATTTTTTTTAAATTTCATTTTTAAAATTTATTTTTTAAAAATTATTTTTTAAAATTTCTTTTTTAAAATTTATTTTTTAAAATTTATTTTTTAAAATTTCTTTTTTAAAATTTGTTTTAAAAAAATATATTTTAAAATATGGATGAACTTACTAGGAAATTACCTGCTTTAAAATGTTGATTTTTGAAAATGTGCTTTTTGAGGTGCTGTTTTAAAATGTTGCTAAAAGTGTGGGGAGGACCCTAGGTTTTTTTATAGAAAAAAGATGGGCAAGGTCTGGTCTAACTGTGGGACGGTCAATTATCACCCTGTTTTAAATTTATAATAATAAAAGGCTTCCCGGGTCCAAAATTGACCACGCGTACCCCGTAAGTCTCTTCATGATGGATTCTAGGGGGAAAGGGTTGTCATCGCTCTGACCTTCAAGAAGCGCAACTTGTGTCTGGCCAGTGCGTTACGGCAGGGGTGTTGCATTGAGTTCTGCCCTTTAACAGCAAAAGCCAATGTACACAGCACAGCGCCAGGCTTTCAAGAAGCACAGCTTTTGTCAAGCCAGTTGCGTTACCGCAGGGGTGTTGCATTGAGTTCAAGCTGACCTGAAACGGCCCGAGCATGACAGATCTTTGTAGAGATTGAGCGCGGACGGATATTTTGCCCTTCAGCCAGACGACGCCGCGCCGTCTTTGCGGACGACCTCGCGGCAAGTTTTCATGTAGCCTTTGGCTATTTGCTTGGCTGCTGACTGCGCCTGCACTGAATTCACGACCGAATCCGAGCTTTGTGTGCCATCTTGCTGAGGACGGGGCGCCTCTTCAATGCGTCATTCATGTCCAGCTGCCTCAGCCGCTTCCGAAGATACGACCAAAATCTTTCTATTGGATTCAGGTCCGGCGAGCGTGGCGGTATTTCGCGAAGGTGCAGCTTCCACTTCCGGTATTCAGCCTGGCAGTCTGCGGCGTTGAGGAAGGATTCGTTGTCGCAAAGTAGGTGCCACGGGCCATTGGCCTTCACAGGGCTAAGGCTCTTCACGGCTGACACGAGCTTCCCGGCCTTTAGCACATTGACCCATTCCATCTTGGTAAGCTTCTTCTTCGAATGGAAGGTTATAGTGGGAAAGCCTCCTTCGCTCAGCCCTCCCAAAGAGGAACACATCGATCCAGCGGACTCTGTTTGGCAAAGATGTCCTGACCGGCCAACGATGGGTCCAACCGTTCAAACTTCAAGCGCAACATGTGGGTTTGCGAGGCCCGAAGAAAGTTCAGCCTGTCTGTGTAGTCCTTGGGCGGCGGTGGCAGAACGCAGCCATCCATGGAGAGGGACAGAACAGCTTGGGCAAAGTCCTTCCGTTCCCGCATGTGCGTAGCGGTGTATTTCCGCTTCTGCGCGCGGGGAACCCACATGTAGCACTGCAACTTCAGAAATTTCTGCACCGCGCTCACCTCCACGCAAACACCCTTCTGCCGGCAACCTCTGTCTGCAAGATAACCTTTCGTCATACTGGCAGCAAGTCCGAGGAGATGGTCGTCCGCCCGCAACATTTCTTACCTCTTTGCCTATCTCGACAAAGGTCTTGCCGCGCGCATCTGTCAGTACCACGACTTTGCGTTGGTTGATGAAATCCAGGCCACGAGGATGCACATTTTCAGACACGAGGACCATGACGGCGGGCGCTTGAACCACGGTAGCAGAGGAACTGCGGCGTGAAACTGGCCTCAAACACTCTCAACTGCATTTGGGGTTTCTCGTCCGGAAGGTTTGGGGCTCCTGGCCTGCGTCACCCAAAACAGCTGCGACAAAACCTGACTCTGACAGCTGTGACAAGCACCGTCCATGACAGCTGCAACAGAGTTGGCCCAGACTGCGACAGACTAGACCCTGAAGCTTTCGCCACCACGCTTTTACGACAGAGCGCGTTCGTAAGAGCCCCTTGTTTTGTTCACGTAATGGTTTTATTTTCTGGGAAGCACACGGAGAATTGGGAGTTGGAAAGCTGCTCAGAAGAGCCCTGGAAGGAACCTGCCGCACTCTTGCTAAAGCATGACAAATGGCGGCCAGCAGATTTTGTCCTGCGACATCATTGGCTCTTGGATGTGGCAAAAGCTGGGGTCGATCTACGACCCAACTGGCGGCCACTCCAGGACAACTCGGTTTTGCGACTTGCTAAGCCAATCGTTGGACTGCAAGTACGACCGGCTTTTGGTTGTAAAGTTGATGGTAGCCACAGTAGGGATTTTAAACAGTTACTTCGTGTAGAAGCGTGTCCCTTTTTGTGACTGGTGGCGAATTCAATGCGGCCATCATATTTGCCCTGTAGCTTCTCTTGGTGTGCTACTAAGAACTCTAAGTCCCGCACATCGTCACGGATGAGGGCATCATATGTGCCTCGTTTGAATTCTACCATCTTGGCTGGGAAAATCTCACTGCTGCCAACCTTCAACTCAAGGAGTTGTTTGAAGAGGCTCTTGGCATACTCGGTCTTCCTCGAGGCAGACGCGCCAACTACAATGAGCAAAGGATACCGCAGCAGGTCACGATTGAAATTCTCCAACCACTCGGACACCGCAGGCGCGTGTGGAAACGGCTGGTACAAAGCAGGGTTGCCTTTGATCCGCTTCTCTGCTTCTTCAGCTGGCTTTCGCTCCATGCCTTGCATGCTTCCAAGTTCCGCTTACGGGCTTGAACACTGCCTCGGGAAAGGAAGATGTGTTGCTCGTAGGTTGCGTCATCCAGTTTGTAGTGTTTCCACAAAGCTTCTGGTCTGCCTCTGGGCGCTTTCTGTGCCAAAGATTGTTCCCACGCAGCTCCAGCAGCCCGCAAGTCTTCCAAGCCCTCAGTCTGAGAAGCCGAAGACTTTGCCAAGGCTGGTTGGGAATGTCGGTTGGCACCTGGTCGAACTTGGAGGAGAGCAGCAACCGCCAGAAGCGACGAACGCACGCTGGCATGTCTGCAAATGAGAGACCATAGAGGGCAAGGCTATATTGCTTGCGCACGGGTGTCCACTTTTTGGCTCAAAGCCGCAGAGGTTGAGCATGGTGGAACAGGTGCGAGTGCCACGAAACGGTGCGTACTGCCCTGCGTTACGGCAGGGGTGTTGCATTGAGCTCAAGCTGACCTGTCGTTTAACACCAAAAGCCAATGTACACAGCACAGCGCCAGGCTTTCAAAAAGCACAGCTTTTGTCAAGCCAGTTGCGTTACCGCAGGGGTGTTGCATTGAGAACGGCCCGAGCATGACAGATCTTTGTAGAGATTCCCTCATCAGTGGTTTGTTGAGCGCGGACGGATATTTTGCCCTTCAGCCAGACGACGCCACGCCGTCTTTGCGGACGACCTCGTGGCAAGTTTTCATGTAGCCTTTGGCTATTTGCTTGGCTGCTGACTGCGCCTGCACTGAATTCACGACCGACCGAATCCGAGCTTTGTACGCCATCTTGCTGAGGACGGGACGCCTCTTCAATGCGTCATTCATGTCCAGCTGCCTCAGCCGCTTCCAAAGTTACGACCAAAATCTTTCTATTGGGCTCAGGTCCGGCGAGCGCGGCGGTATTTGCCAAAGGTGCAGCTTCCACTTCCGGTATTCAGCCTGGCAGTCTGCGGCGTTGAGGAAGGATTCGTTGTCTCTGTTTGGCACAGATGTCCTGACCGGCCAAAGATGGGCCCAACCGTTCAAACTTCAAGTGCCACATGTGGGTTTGTGAGGCCCGAAGAAAGTTCAGCCTGTCTGTGTAGTCCTTGGGCGGCAGTGGCAGAACGCAGCCATCCATGGAGAGGGACAGAACAGCTTGGGCAAAGTCCTTCCGTTCCCGCATGTGCGCAGCGGTGTGTTTCCGCTTCTGTGCGCGGGGAAGCCACCTGTAGCCCTGCGACTTCAGAAATTTCTGCACCGCGCTCACCTCCACACAAACACCCTTCTGTCGGGCAACCTCTGTCTGCAAGATCTTGCATGTGCACACACCTCCTCGCCGCAGTGTTCTAAACCGCTGGAGCAGGAAGCGCTACACATCTGCTGTCATTTTCGAAGCCTTTCGCCCGCACTGATGGTACTTGCTTTCCTTCCGGCCAGCCTGGCATGTCTGCAAATGAGAGACCATAGAGGGCAAGGCTATATTGCTTGCGCATGTGTGTCCACTTGTGGGCTAAAAGCCGCAAAGGTTGAGCATGGTGAAACAGGTGCGAGTGCCACGAAACGATGCGTACTGCCCTTCAGTCAGACAAAAGTTTATGCTTGATGGCTGTTTTGAAAAGATACTATTGGGCCAGCGGCGGATCGAATTAACAAGTGTGGCAATTGCCAATGCTGTTTTGCTGGTTTGAGCGATGTTGGATTTGGCTTGTTTGCGGTCTTTGCGGGTTTGTAGGTTGATTTTGGAAAACAACGAGAAACACTGGTGTCTTGCATGCGGCATCCCCGATTTTTTGTCAGCGTTCCCCGCCCCCACCATCCCTTGCTTGGCCAATGTTTTGCGTCCGGGGCGTTGGCGGATCGCGCAGCGATTTCAATACCTAGCCCTGGTTTCCTGGCGATTTATTCGTCCCTCTTGACCATCCTTGCGGAGGGGCAATAGCGCTCTAGACCATCTATTCCCAAGCAAACCAACCAAAAAAGCCACCTATGGTCATGGGAGTCATGGGTGTTCCCCTTGCACGTTGCACTTTTTTTCGCAAAGGTTTCCAAGAATATTGCGGGCGGGCGTGAGGGTTGGACACGTTGGCCACTACGTCCTCTAGCTATTTGTCTCATCTATTCAGTCTATGATCTGACTTTGCGAGAGAGACATCGAGAACACGCCGCTCCTGCCACTAAATCTGCGCATCACGAGATCTGCACCTGACCCTGCGAAAGTGCTGCGCTTGCCACGAAATCAGTACCTGACCTTGCGATCAGGCTATAACTTTCGAGCACCCAACTCATCAAAACCCGCAGAAGGTGGGTCCGAGCCACCATGCGGCAGGGGTGGGATTGTGGCCACGCCACTAGTGGCCACTCTCTGTCGAGGACCCCTACAGCTATTTCTGTGTGCTTCGCAGCGCTTCATATGCTTCATCAGTGGGGTTGACCGTTCTTCCCCGGAAGGCCTCGCAAAGTTCTTCTATCCCCTGGGGTGCGGCGCCCTTGCCGTCCGAAGAAAAGCTTCTCACGGCTGCGCCGCGCCGCAAGAAGGTTTACGTATCTCAGCCTGCATGCGCGGCCATGCTTACACGTTGACCTGCGATGCCTTTCTTCCCACCCCGCATGCGGAGGATTGCTGGCCCACCTTCGCATTGGTGATAGAGGTTTTTGCCTGGAGAAAAAAGTCCCTAGTCTCTAGCAGGCTGGTGACCATTTAGTTTTCACCCATACATTTTTCCGCCTTGATGTTTCAAGGCCAATCTTCTGCGCTGATCCCATTCCGCGCGCCCATGTTTGTGGAGGTTCGACCCAACCTAGCCATGTCTCCGAAGCCTGGCCCTCCAATGCGACTGGCGCTTCAGACCCTTCCTCTTTCTTTGTCACCTCCGGTTCTGCCAGTCATGCTACCGACCAATCGCATGCGGTTGCACTTTTGAAACCTTTCCAGCTAGCTTTCAACTAGTTGCCGTTCCACAGAGTTCCTTCTACACTTCCTTTGGTAATAATTGCAAAGTTACGTAGTAGAAGCACCAACTAAAAGTGGCCAACATGGGTTTTGGGGCGCTGCTCACCTATTTTTGGCTTCTTTCAGGATACTTTTAAAATTTTAAACCCCCAGGTTTGGATTACAGCTCAACTGCTCTTGCACCTGGCTGCTGTCTCCGCCACGTTCTGGAGCACCCCAGGTCACAACGGCCCCAGATTCAAGAATGGCAGCAAAAGCACCGACTGACAGTTGCTTGGATGTGCTGCACGTTACTCAGCCGCTCTTGCACCTGGCTGCTGTCTCCGCCACGTTCTGGAGCACCCCAGGTCACAACAGCCCCAGATTCAAGAATGGCAGCAAAAGCACCGACTGACAGTTGCTTGGATGTGCTGCACGTTACTCAGCCGCTCTTGCACCTGGCTGCTGTCTCCGCCGCCGTCTCGATCACCCCAGGTCACAACAGCCCCAGATTCAAGAATGGCAGCAAAGGCAACACCAGTTGCTTGGATGTGCTGGACGTTCCTCAGCTGCTCTTGCACCTGGCTGCTGTCAGCACCCCAGGTCACAACAGCCCCAGATTCAAGAATGGCAGCAAAAGCACCGACTGACAGTTGTTTGGATGTGCTGCACGTTACTCAGCCACTCTTGCACCTGGCTGCTGTCTCCGCCGCCTTCTCGATGCAAAAAAAGAAACGCTAGTTGCTTGGATGTGCTGCACGTTACTCAGCTGCTCTTGCACCCGGCTGCTGTCTCCGCCAGCTGTTGGAGCACCCCAGGTCCCAACAGCCCCAGATTCAAGAATGGCAGCAACAAAAGAAACGCTAGTTGCTTGGATGTGCTGGACGTTACTCAGCTGCCCTTGCACCTGGCTGCTGTCTCCGCCAGCTGTTGGAACACCCCAGGTCACAACAGCCCCAGATTCAAGAATGGCAGCAAAAGCACCGACTGACAGTTGCTTGGATGCGCTGCACGTTACTCAGCCGCTCTTGCACCTGGCTGCTGTCTCCGCCGCCGTCTCGATCACCCCAGGTCACAACAGCCCCAGATTCAATAATGGCAGCAA